TTTGAACTCACCCAGTGGCTCTGTGGGTGAAAGTGCTGGCAATCTACTTCCCACAAAGATTACAGCCTAGAAAACCCTGTGGGGCAGTTCAACTCCGTCACAGGGAGTTAGCCTAAGCTGAAAATCGACTCAACAGTACCTAACAACAACAGCTACATGCTACGGACACCTAATGCTTAGCGGCCAGGGATGCCGTTCAACGTCCACACGCACGGGACAGCCTCCCACACAGAGAACGATGATTCAGCCTGAATGTCAGCAGGGCTGAGCCTGAGAAACCCTGCTCCAGGCCAATGCTGCCTGATAAAGCAGAATGCAATTTGCATACGTACTTTAAAATTTTCCAGTAGCCACACTGAAAAACTAAAATAAAAAAGTAAAATTAATTTCAGTATATTTTGTTTAACCGATATATCTGAAATATTATTACTTTAACATATAAAAACCAAAACCAAACTCACTGATATCGAGTTGATCCCAACTCATAATGACCCCTCCTTGGGTTTCCGAGGTGGCACCACTACGGAAGTAGATTGCCCAACCTTCCTTCCAAGAAGTGGCTGTTGGGTTTGAACCACCAGCCTTCTGGTTAGCAGTCAAGTGCCTTTGGCACTATGCCACCAGAGCTCCCACTTTAACATATATCCAATATAAAAAAAATGATTAATGAGATATTTGACATTCTGGGTTTTTTAGGTAAAATCCTTGAAATCCAGTGTGTATTTACGGTTACTGCCCAGCTCAGTTTGGATTGGCCAGATTTCAAGCTCACCACAGACATCGGAGGCTGTGGCTGCAGTGCAGGTCTAGACAGCCTCAGAGACAAAGGAATCTGAAAAGGCCTTATGGGGCTGTCAACCTGTTTTTGAACTTATTTCTGCCTCCTCTTGAGCATAAAACAGAACAAAAAACACAGCCCATGGCCATTGAGCCAATGCTGACTCCACAGAGTGTTCTGGACTGGGATATTTACAGAAGCAGGTCGCCAGGCCTTTCTCCCTTGGCATTGCTGATGGAATTCAAACCACCAACCTTTAGCTTAGTAATGGTGCGCCAACTGCTTGCGCCACAAGAGGGAGGCCAAGAAACAGGTGGTTTTTTTGAGTTCCGGTAAGATGGAGGAATAGGCAGAAAGACTGCACAGACCCTCTTCAACAAAGAAAAGGGGAACCAATTAACACAGATACAGAAGATAATCCTGGACCTCTGAGCCTTGAAGGGAAGGATATAGAAGTGGACTAAACTCTAACTAGCAGAAGAACTTGCATGAAAACACCAAAAAAGGAGACATATGGAGCTGTGGTCTGGTCGCAATCCTGATGACACAGAGAGCTTGAATATTGCCGAGTGGTGGCAGGACCTAAGAATTAACCTAAAAATCGGCCCTGCTAGCCAGGGACTGCAAGGAGGACTGCTCTGGTGGTTGGGGAATAAAAGGGGAAGCAGCGAAGAGGAACACGGGCTGAGCTGTGGACTTTTGTCTGTCTGGAGGGCGTAACCATTTTGAATGTTTACAAGCGGCTTGACCACTTTGGATGTTTAAAGCAACAGCGTTCTCCCAGATTCCAGGGACTTAAGAATAGGCTCCACTTGCCGGGAACCCCAAGGACATTCTGGACCCAGACGACTGGAAAGGTGAGACATTTCCCTTGTTACTCTTATACCCCACACCCTGTTGGTGAACAGAGGTGTGGCCATCCCTCACTCCCACCCACTTTCTGGGCTTGCAGGAACTCCATTCCAGTCTGCAATCTCGGACGGAGCCTGGGTACCCTACCCGGATTTTTTTTTTTTTTTTTCTGTTTTTTCAGTTTGTCTGTTTTAGAACTGCTATTATTATTATTACTTTTGTTCTTTTTACTATTATTCTTTGTTCTTCCCCTCCAAGGATCTAGTTTTCAGCTTTTTTTCTTTTCCCTGTTCCTGGTTCCAATTCTTTTTCTTTCTTGGGATTAACCCCATTCTTTGCTTTTCTTTTTGCGTTTTTCCCATTTTTTTCTTCATTATTCTCCTTCTCTACCTTTTTTCTCTTATTGCCTTTTCCCCAGATACTGAAGGGTGTTTTTTATTTTTTTCTTTTTTTTTTTCGGTTACTGTTCTTGTGTGATTAAACAGTGTATTTTTTTTGTCCATTTGCTTTTACTTTTTTGAGGGTATTCAATTGTAATTTTTTGTCTAACGGAATGCAAGACAGGAACAGCCCCAATATGACACAACTATACCCACACTCCCTGCAGCTTCACTTACTGAGTGAGAGCCACCACTTCCTTCTCCACCAATAGGGCAACAATAAACAACCACCAAGAAGAACCTGATTTACTCTTGGCTACTCTTAACAAACAGTTAACAGAGATCTAAATACAACAAC